TTTTTACGAATCAAAATAAATATAATTAACACAACATGAAATTAACTGCTAATAATAACAGCTCCTTCCATAGGCAAAAATAAAAAGCGTTCCATAAAAGACGACGCCGCTCACCGGCGTCGCCAATAAAAGTACATTTGTATAGCAAGGTCAAGGTTACTTAGCATAACAAAATCTGGTGTGAAAATAGTTTGAATGATATTTAGTAAGATATTTAGATATATGTATATTATAAAAAACATATTTATTAAGACTTTGTATCAATATCACCTGTTATCAAGTAATAAAGTGTTAATTAAATTTTTATTGGTGATAATCCTCAACATCCCTATGGGGTTGCCCTGATATATAAGTCTGACTTTTTCAGATGTCAATGCTCAAGTATTTAAGTGTCCAACTGGAAAGTGTTTTTTTTAGCCATTTTAAGAACATGACTCAACCCTAGAATTGGGATTTTCTTGTCATTTTACACAGAATTGGGGTAAATACATATATAAAATAAAACAACATAATGAAATATTAATAGTTCACTTATAAGCACATTTTAAAATTTGGATTTGCTGTGGTACAGTGCAGTTAAGATGTCATCAAATGGCTTAATTAAATTTACTTATTTTAATTTCCATTGTTTTTTATCCTTGAAATTAGAAAGAAACATACTTTTTTGGACTGGGAACATGACTGAATATCATTTAAATGGTCAAAAAGAAACTGATAGTTATACTGTATGGAGCCTGACAGGTCAGAATGCACCCAGTTGTGCTGACTATTAGCAAATCTAATTAACCTCCAACTTTATAAAATTAGTTATTAAAATTCAAGGACATTTTTACACAAAACAGTTATGTTAAACTCATCATACATTTTCACAAATGTCTCAATATTTGTAAATGATCAGAAAAAGTGTAGGTGTAACAAGATCATGGTAACCTTGAACCATGTAACATATGTGACTAGCATTTGACATTGTATGAACAATCTTTAATAGCCATATTCAAGCTTACTCAACAGTTAACAATATTTGATTATTTTCCTATTAACATTAATTGACATGATATTATTATCAATTAATAATTCAATTAATAATCAATTTGTGTTGGTATGGGTGTGTTTTGGTCTAGCATGTGTGTTGGTAGGGATGTGTGGTGGATGGGATGTTGGTTGGTAGGTATGTAGGTTGGAAAGGTTGAATGTTTGCAAGGATGTGTGTTTGCAGGGATGTGTGTTGGTAGGAAATGAGTTGGCAAAGATGTGTTTACAGGGATGTGTGTTAATAGGGTTTAGTGTAGCAGGGTTGTATTTTGCTAGGGGCTTTGTGTTCACAGAGGTGTATTGTGCTGGGGTTAAATGTTTACAGAGATGTGTGTAAATGGGGTTTAGTGTTGACAGGGTTGTGTGTTGGTGGGGTTTAGTATTTTCAGAGATGTGTGTTAGTGGGGTTTAGTGTTTGCAGGGATGTGTGTTGGCAAGGATGTGTGTTTACAGGGATTTATGCTTGTTGGATTTAGTATTTACAGTGGATGTGTGTTAGCAGTGTTTAGTGTTTAAACATGGTTGTGTGTTGGTGGAGTTTAATGTTGACAGGGATGTGTGTTGGTATGGTTCAATGTTTGCAGGGGTTTAGTGTTGACCGACATGTGCATTTGCTGGTATGACTTGGTTGTCTGGGTTGTGTGCTGACTGGGTTGTGTTATGGCAGGAAAGACTGGGTTGGAAAGAATGTGTGTATGCAGGGATATGTGCTGAGAGTTATATTGTAGAATGTAATAGTTGTTAGATAAATGCATTATTCACTGTTTATAGATTGTCAGTGGCACAGTGTATAATTGTGATGGATGAGAAGTTTCTGTAGAGAAGAACATTGTCATTCTGTCACACAGCTTTGTAAATGCCACTTCTGTGCATAAAGTGATTCCAATAAAATACATTCTTTATTCCCACAGATACATGTATTTCCAACGAAAAGAGTTTGTTTGGTTTTAACACTGATAATTGAGTTTAAAACGCATGATTGTATGCATGGTTCCCTTCAATGATTTTTTTTTTTCATTTTGGACGACCCTGACATTAAGAAATTTGAAAATTTATTCATGAATGCTTTGTATGTCCCCAAAGAGAGGCATGTGAAGGCATTGAGGTTTTGAATTATCTGTCAGTCTATCCATCTGCCTATCAGCATTTTGTCCAGACCATATATTGCTTTGTCATTTGTAGACCAATTTTGAAATAATGTTGCATAAATGTTTGGCTTATGAGACAAGTTGTTAGATTTAAGTTTGTAGCTCACAGATCAAGGTAACAGTAAGACATTAAAGGAAATGTTTCATAAAAGTACACTGATTGTTAAAATGTCTGGTCATGAATTCTGTCATATAATTATGTATGGATTTTGAAATAATTAGGAATAAATATGTGGCATATTATTACTTAGACTTGATTGGAGCAATTTTACACCAGGTCAACAGCTAGAAAAATCAAGGTTATACTTCATGTCAATAAAGTGCATTGATAATTCTCTCTCTGGTCATATCTTTGCCATTGGGCATGTTTAGAACATAAGAAAGTGTTTGTTAATGTTTTGTTATTCTTGTAACACTGACCTTTTATAGTACCATGACTACATTGTGGTCTGTTTACTTGGCCCTGCTTCATTGGCATTTTGTCTGTTTACAATTTTTATACAAGTTCTTGTTTGTTAATAATATTTTCTGATCAGAATCAATTAAAATGTAAAAATAGATTTCATGTAAAATTTCAGTTTGAAAAATAATTCCAAAATAGTACCTGTATGAAAGAAATGAGTTTGATGTATGTAAAATTTCATGCATAGGGAATGGCACATGCACTAAATCATTGCTAAATGGTTTAAAACCATCACTTAAAAATATATTTTATTTCCAGAACATTTTATTCCGTTTATGTCCAATATTCATGACTTGTATGTTAAACAGCAGAAAGATTATTTTACAACAGTTTGAGAATCACTCATAATATAATGGAAACAACATGATTTTAGTGTTTTATAAATAATTGTTTATGTTATATAGATTTATAGTTTCCTATTAAAACAACAACAACAACACATTGTTTGTAGCAAAATTATAGTAATACACTATCCAGATATGAATTCTGACATTTTTAGCTCGACTTTTCTATGAAAAGGGGAGCTATCCTACTCGCCCCGGCGTCGGCGTTGGCGTCACACCTTGGTTAAGTTTTTCGTACCACCCCACTTTATTTCAGAAATATTACAAGTATGGCTTTGAAACTTACCATACTTGTTCACCATCATAACCTCCATCTACAGACAAGAGTACATAACTCTGTCAAGGTTTTTGACAGAATTATGGCCCTTTTTTTGACTTAGAAAGTGTATTGAGCTTGGTTAAGTTTTTTGTACCACCTCACTTTATTTCAAAACCATTGGAGGTATTGCTTTGAAACTGACCATACTTGTTTACCATCACGACCTTCATCAACAGACAAGAGGACATAACTCTGTCAAGGTTTTTGACAGAATTATGCCCCTTTTTGACTTAGAAAATACATTGAATATGGGTAAAATCCACTTATTGCCTTAACCCTTTGAGATATTGCTTTGAAACTTTTAATGCTATTTCACATCATTACCCCCATCTGTACGCAAGAGAAGGTAACTCTGTCAAGGATTTGTTTTAAAAATTAAGGCCTTTTATCGACTTAGAATCTTGGTTAAGTTTTAGTACCAGTCCACTTTTTGACTGAACTGTTTGAGATATTAATTTGAAAGTTGGAATACTTGTTTACAATCATGATTCCCAAACATGTCCAGGAGAAGGTAATTCTGTCAAAGATTTTATTTGAATTATGGCCCTTAACTGTCAATGTTTTGTATTATAGGCAAGCACTAAAAAACTTAAAAAATCTAAAAAAATTCATTCCTATCCACTTGTTCACTTTACCATAAATTATGTCATATAAACATTGCTGTAATATTCAAGGGTATCAAACAACTAGTTCACTTTAAAAATACAGAGATTCTTGTATTGCCTTTTACTGCAAAAACTTTTTTTATTGGCAAGCAATAAAAAAGTCGAGCGCGCTGTCTTACGGACAGCTCTTGTTAATTACAGCGTTACATATCATATAATAATTAAAAATTACTGTTTATCTGTAATTGTGTGTAAAATAAATGAAAAATCTGTTAGTTGCTGAAACATGACACTATAACAGGCATACCTTCCTTAAAATGTTGCATGCTTTCAATTAATTATTAATTTTGGTATAATGGGAAGACATGGTTCAAACTAATATGTTTAGACAGTATTGTTAAAGTTGCCAAAATACAATATTATATTCACCATTTAACAGACAGTTTCTTGCCAGTCTTCATCATGGCAGACAAGTTATATGGCCAAGAAGTGAAATAATTATATATGACAAACTACAGCATTTGACCAAGATTTACTTTATGCCATATAATTTGGTACATTTTTTTATTCCCCCAAAGAGTGGCAAATAATGTTAACTCTGTATAATGCCATGCTAAATCTGAAATGGACTTTTCCATCTTGCAGTCTGGACAAAAACCATTAATCATTTTTATAGAAATTTAAAATTATGTGGTGAGTGAATAGTGAAAAGTGCAGACTATGATCAGTTGGCATGGTATATGTGCCCTCTTGACCTTGATATCTTCATCTGTACTAGTTGCATTGATTTCTACTGGTTGTGTTTCTGCCAGCAGCCTATTAATAGGTCAAAGGTATGTTGGTTAAATTTGGTGCTTGTTGGTTTGGTTGTACAGTATATGCTGGGTTGTTTCTCCCCTACAAAGTTTATTGAGAAGCTGGGGGGGGGGGGATTAAAAAATATCAACAGTAGCTTGCTTTTGAACACTAATGTCCACGTAAAACAATACGGTATGTGCAAACTTTTCAGCCATGTTGTTGTAAACAACGTTGAAGGTTCACATTATACTATATAAATCACAATAAAATTGTTATGTTTTTATATTACAGCTATGCTAGAATATTAGCCCATTACCCGTATGTGGTGCTGATTGCTGTACTTGTTGTCTCATTGACGTGTCTCATAGTAACTGTTACCATCGGCGACAGACCGAACTTCGAGGAACCAATGGCAGTATGTATACAATTACAATATGATAATGAGCCGCGTCATGACAATACCAACATAGTGCATTTGCGTGCAGCATGGATCCAGACCAGTCTGCACATCCACGCAGTATGATCAGGATCCACATTGTTGGCTACCAGTTTCTCTACTTGTTATAGGGTTTGTAGGCAAACAGCATGGATCCTGATCAGACTGTGCCGATGCGCAGGCTGGTCTGGATCCATGCTGGTTGTAAACGCATTACGTTGGTTTTGTCATGACATGGCTCAATTATAGGTTACATTAGATTAGGAGGAGCTGTATGATTGCACACTCAGGCTATTATAATTCTGTCCATCTACTCTAGTATTGTTATATAATGTTATATAATGGCTCTTAGGAACATGTCAAAGAGGTGTCAGTCACATTAAAGTAACTCAATAAATAGAATTACTGTAATGTATTTAATGACTTTCTTAATATAACTGACACCTCTTCAGCATGTTTAAAGAAACATTATACTAATTTTGTTATTAAAACGTAAATATAGAAGAGCAATGATTTCTAACTATGACTGGTAATGAAAGAATTATACTTAAATCATTAAAAAATATATATATTTATATTTTTTGACAAGTTTTATGGAAAAATTTTGTAATCTAAGCAAAGATTACAACGCTTAATTAAATTTAATTATTTTAACACCCAATATTCTTTCAGAAAAAAGTGAAATAATGCTATTTTACCTAAAGGCATATACTGAGCATTGTAAATGAGAATTATTGCTTAACTTTAATTAATTTTTGGCAAGAAATAAACCAGCAAGTGCTGCATGTTTAACACGCTTTCAGTTAAATTAACACAGGACACCAACAGTGTAATGCTTTTTTTAAAAACATTTAAATGGTAATATAATATTACCTAAGGGCTAATATTTGAGTTGTTAATTAATGCTCCATGAGGATGCCATATGATTTGAGCCGCGTCATGACAAAACCAACATAGTGCGTTTGCGACCAGCATGGATCCAGACCAGCCTGCGCATCCGCGCAGTCTGATCAGGATCCATGCTGTTCCCTATCAGTTTCTCTACTTGTAATAGAGTTGGTAAGCAAACAGCATGGATCCTGATCAGACTGCGCGGGTGCGCAGGCTGGTCTGGATCCATGCTGGTCGCAAAACCATTATGTTGGTTTTGTCGTGACACGGCTCATTTGTTTTCTTGTGTTAATCTCTGAAACTTGCCCTACTTACATTAGATTAATTAAACTTCATGACAAATTAATGGCACCATTAACAAAGCTAGTTAATTCATAAATCATCATAATATCTTACCAACTTTTATCTTTTAGATAAATCAAGGCTGAAACTTCATCTCAACATTTTCAGTAAAATTGTCAGCAATGACAAATTCCTATGCAAAATACAATTCAACTTGTTTGTTAAACTGTGGATAATCCATCTAACTGTGGAGAATCCATCCACATTTGGCATGCTTCATCTACGATTGTTCTCATCTTAAATACCTACAGTTACTGTATAAAGCAAATTTAAATGCAATACGATAGGAATGGTCAGTGAATAGTTTTTGACAAAGTTGCTAATTTAAAAATTGTCCTGGCCTAAAGAAAAAAAAGGCCACCAGAGAAAACAATAGAAATAAGCTTTTAAAAAAGAATGGTAGATTTTTATGAAACTCCATAAGAGTGGTTATTGGGTTGTCCTTTATAAAATAAAGCTAAAATCTTTTCAGTCCACTGAATAAGATGGCTGCCATAGTTGAAAATAGAAGTCAGCTTGAAATAAATGCATTTCTCTGCTGTCTACTGAACTGTTAAATGAGGCAATGTAGAAATTTTATCCCTATATGATAGCTAACATTATTATTAATGTACAAGTTGGCAACTAGAGCTTAAAATAGAAATACGCTTTAAGTGACATGCAAATTTTGATGATTTATTTATTTATCTTAATAGGAATGAACCCTGATAAGAACTGTAAAAAGGCATTATTTTTATCATTTAATATATAAAAAAAATTTGATGACTGTTGTTTAATTATTACATTCAAATAAGTAATAATAATTCTAAAAAAGTAGTTTTACTTTTTAATCTAATATCGTAGTTGTATACTGTCACTGTCTGGGATGACATTTTAATATTATCAGTTGATTAAACTTTACTCTCTTAACTGTAGCACATGTTACTCAAGGGAGGAATTGACAAGATTAATCAAAAGGTCATTTCCTTTCTCATTTAATCAGATTTCTGTGATTTCTACTTGACACAGTGAACTTTAAATCAAGTACATATACTTATATTGAATTGTCTCACGAATAACAAGAGCTATATTTAGCTTGAACATATTAACCCTTACCCTGTTCATGGCAACTAAATTTATCATATCAACAAGTGCAGACCATGATCAGCAGACACATCCTAGCCATCTCTTCATGGTCTGCACTGTTCATTATTCATTCAAATCATATTTTTATTTTTTCTCCTAAATATGATAAAAGGTTGTTTTTTTATTGAAAGATGATCAAGTTAACCAGGTTAAGGCTTATAAAAAAAGTAGAACTTGAAACGCCTTACTGGACTTACCCTTAACAATACAGAATGATGTTGTTACATTGAGGATTCCACATCTGCACAGACTCTGTACTGTTGTTAGCTCAGTTTTTGTATGTTCCAGATTTAAAGTTTGGCAAATACATTACACAAATTGAGAAGGTTATGGGTTAGGGTATTTATTTATAAGAGAAATCATGTTATTATATAGATGATAAAGATTCTCCAGCCAGACAATGTGTTTGAGGATGTATAGATACTGTAGTTAAATCTTCTATCTATACATATGTCGCTAGACTTCTTGTATTTTGTTTTCCCATTTCTCTGTAGTAATAATATAATGATAAAAAAAGAGGACATTTGAAAAAACAACCAAAAAAAAAACAAAAAACATTTGAAATGAGTACATGTATATACTGTTCATGAATACATGTAGTTCATTTAACATTCTTGAACAGTTCCTGAAAACAATTCTTGGATCATCAGTGGGAGTAGATGATATGGTCCAGATACATTAAATGTTCTGGACATTGCAGTTCATAAACAGGCTTCTGAATAATTTAACACTATTTTTTTACAGTTCTGTCTCTAATATCAGGATTTTTATTAGTAAGTGTACATTCTTGACAGGTTTCTGACCAATCAAATACCCGAGATCTGAAATTGAGCTTATAAAATTCATTTATAATATACAAATTTCATATCTAGTCTGTGAAAACAAAATGTTAAACTTCTATTGTGTATATTTGCAGGGTTTTGAGCCTCGGGGCACGGAAATCAGTAATCGTCTTACAGCATATAAAAACCTTGTAAATGACCCAGATTTGACTCCCACGCCGCAGATTCAGGAAGCAGTTATCCAGCTTGCCAACAAACTCTACCTCAATACAGCCTACCAGAAAAATAATACAACATCTCCTGTTTACAGATTTAAACGGGCAAAGCGAAAATCAGTAAAGCCATTCTTTTGTGATGTCCCAGGTTTGTACAAAATTATTTATAATCTGTCTCATCCAAAATGGAAAGGTATGAATTAACAAAACAAGGTTGAATCATTTATTTGTTTTTAACATAACATGACTTTGTCAGTCAAGCTGCAAACAAAATATTATTGATAGAGTTATGTCCCTCTTTTTAAAGAAAATTTCCTGTGAAATTATTGGTTTCTACAGGATTCCAATGATTGTGTTTACATTTGGTATGTTAAGATTTTATATATTAAAAATCATCATTAGTTCAATTTTACCTGTAATCAACTGTTTATTGACACAGTTATTCTTCTTTTTAAACAAATTTTCTGTGAAATTATTGGCTTCTGTAGCATAAATTTTGAAGGATTTCAATGATTATGTTTATATTTAGCGTGCAAGCATATTATTTCAAAACACAGACTTAGTTCAATTTTCTGTTCAATTGAAATTTAATTGATAGAGATATGCCCTTTTTAGCTCGACTATTCGAAGAATATGAGAGCTATTGTAGTCGCCCCGGCGTCGGCGTCCGCGTCGGCGTCTGCGTTGGTTAAAGTTTTTTGTAAAGTCAAATATCTCAATAATTACTTGAGATATTCAATTGAAACTTACAATACTTATTTATAGTAACAAGGTACATCAGATTGACAAGTTGGATAACTCTGCCTACAATATTGACAGAATTATGCCCCTTTTTAACTTAGAAATTTTGGTTAAAGTTTTTTGTAAAGTCAAATATCTCAATAATTACTTGAGATATTCAATTGAAACTTACGATACTTATTTATAGTAACAAGGTACATCAGATTGACAAGTGAGATAACTCTGTCTACAATATTGACAGAATTATGCCCCTTTTTAACTTAGAAATTTTGGTTAAAGTTTTTTGTAAAGTCAAATATCTCAACTATTGCTTGAGATATTCAATTGAAACTTACAATACTTATTTATAGTAACAAGGTACATCAGATTGACAAGTTGGATAACTCTGCCAACAATATTGACAGAATTATGCCCCTTTGGAACTTAGAAATTTTGGTTAAAGTTCTTTTGTAAAGTCAAATATCTCAATTATTGCTTGAGATATTCAATTGAAATTTAAAATACTTTTTTATAGTAACAATGTACATCAGTTTGCAAAATTGCGTAACTCTGCCTGCAAAATTTGAAGAATTATTTGCCCCTTTGAAACTTAGAAATTTTGGTTAAAGGTTAAAGGTCTTCAAAGATATTTACTTGAATGTTTACACATGCACTTAGGGTCATAATTGGAGGGTCATAATTGTATGTCACTGACCAAGTTTCATAACTCTATCTTGCATTAAGGCTGATTCATATCCCCTTTTCTACTTAGTCTCTTGGTTAATGTTAACATGCAAGTTTTACATATCTCAATAACTATTAAAGATATTTATTTAAAACTTCACATATGCATTTAGGGTCATAATTGTAGGTCACTGACAAAGATCCATAATTCTATCTTGCATTTAGGCTGATTTTTCTCCCCTTTTTCAACTTAGAAATTCATGGTAAAGTTTTGCTTGTAAGCTGTTATCTCAATTACTACTGAAGGGTTTGTGCCTTTTTTGGGACAATTTTATGCATTCATAATAATAAAGCAGTGATTTACTTGATAAAACATCTTAATTAGAATCCCTTTGTACCTTTTCTGTCAAATTTTTGTATTCATAGGTAATTAGTATTATTATACTCAATAAAACAACCTTGTGACATTACCTTCCGAATAGTCAAGCCAATACTGTATAATTAGACTCTCTCTAAGGCCTATAACATGAATTTATTAAAAAAAAATTAGACCTTTTGTGATCTTAAAAAATTTAACATTATCAAGGCTCTTTTACTATCAAGCACTTAGAATAGTCGAGCGTGCTGTCCTTCCGACAGCTCTTGTATATGTAAATTTTCAGTGAAAATATTGTTTGTATGAGCTTATCTAAATTTTAGAGCTGTGAAATTATGTTGTTGTATTAAGGGTTATGCTATTGTGCCTCTATGGATCATTATACACCCGAAACGTAGTTTGCGGGGGTATATAGGAGTCAATCGGTGGTTGGTCGGTAGGTCCAGCAGTCCGTTGCATTTTCCTTGTCCGGAGCATAACTTGAAGACTAATGATTGAAATTCAATACAACTTCATACAATGATCAAGTACATTGAGAGGAAGACTCTATCGTGACTAATTACAGAGTAATTGCCCTTCGTTACTTTTCCTTGTCCAGAGCATAACTTGAAAACTACTGTTTGAAATTCAAAACAACTTCATACAATAGTCAAGCACAGTAAGGGGAAGTGCAGTACACAAGAACCCAAACTCTATCTAAAGTAATTACAGAGTTATTGCCCTTTGTTACTTTTTCATGCTTCTTTTGTCGGGACCATAACTTTAAGACTAATGGTTGGAATTTAATATTATTTCATACAATGGTTAAGCACATTGAGAGGAAGTGCAGTGCATAAGAACCATAATTCATCTTGACTAATTACAGAGTTATTGCCCTTTGTTACTTTTCCTTTCCGGAGCATAAATTGAAAACTACTTGTTGGAATTCAAAACAACTTCATACAATAGTCAAGCACAATAAGGGGAAGTGCAGTACACAAGAACCCAAACTCTATCTAAAGTAATTACAGAGTTATTGCCCTTTGTTACTTTTTCATAGCTTCTTGTGTCCGGACCATAACTTGAAGACTAATGATTGGAATTCAATATCATTTCATACAATGGTCAAGCACATTGAGAGGAAGTGCAGTGAATAAGAACCATAATTCAATCTTTACTAATTACAGAGTTATTGTCCTTTGTTACTTTTCCATTGCTTTTTTTTGTCAGGAGCATAACTTGAAGATTAATGGTTGGAATTCAATACAACTTCATACATTGATCAAGCACATTGAGAGGAAGTGCGGTGCACAAGAATCATAACTCCATCTTGACAAATTACAGAGTTATTGCTCTCTGTTACTTTTCCTTGTCTAGAGCATATCTTGAAAACTACTGGTTGGAATTCAATACAACTTCATACAATTATCAAGCACATTAAGAGAAAGTGCAGTGTACAAGAATCATAACTCTATCTTGACTAATTACAGAGTTATTGCCCTTTGTTACTTTTCCATTGCTTTTTTCTTGTCCAGAGCATAACTTGAAAACTACTAGTTGGAATTCAATACAATTTCATACAATGGTCAAGTATATTGAGAGGAAACCATAACTCTTTTTTGACTCATTTAAGAGTTTTTGCCCTTTGTTACTTTTCATTGTCCAGTGCATAACTTGAAAATTACTGGTTGGAATTCAATGAAACTTCATACAATGGTCAAGGGCAGTGAGATGAAGTGCAGTGCACAAGAAACATAACTCTATTTGGACAAATTACAGTTATTGCCCTTTGTTACTTTTTTTATCCAGTGCATAACTTGAAAACTAGTAGATGGAATTAAATACAACTTAATACAATGGCCAAGGGCAATAATAGAAAGTGCAATGTACAATAACCATATCTCCATCTTCAGTATTTGTAGAGTTATTGCCCTTTATTCCTTTTCCTTGTCCGGTGCATAACTTAAAAACTAATGTTTAGAATTCAATGCAACTTCATACAATGGTCAAGGGCAATAAGAGGAAGTTCAGTGTTCAAGAAGCGTAACTCTTTCTGGCCTTATTACAGAGTAATTCAATAAAACTTCATCATTGGTCAACCACATTAAAAAGAAATGCAACATACAAGAACCACAACTTTCATTAATTGCCCACAACCATAACTCTATTTCAATTTCTGTAACTAGTTGCTTCCGCATTTCCGAAGCAGTCTTGCAGGGGTATTAATCACATTTAGTGATAGTTCTAGTTTATATAACTATGTAAATAAGTAATTTTTACAGTCAGGAGTATTTCAATTTTACTTTGTTTTAAATCCTTATTAGGCTTACTTAGGCAAATTAAAAATTATTAATTTTTGAACCATAGGTTTTTGTTGAAGTCATGTAAGTTCAATTGTCTTCTAAGTTCTATTGAATATGTATTTTTTTATCTTATCCTTTTAAGATATCTAAAACAGTAATTTTGTAATCTATGTATAACATATATTTTTTTCTGTGTAATCTTCTCAAGAATTAGCTAACTACAGTGTATCTTGCCCCACCTCGGCACAGTTTTTATTCTATTTTCTCAGCCAAGTAGTCATCATTCTAAAATAACCATTCTAGAACAAAGTGACATAATAATTGAGCCGCGTCACGACAAAACCAACATAGTGCATTTGCCACCAGCATGGATCCACACAAGCCTGCAGATCTGCTCAGTCTGGTCAGGATCCATGCTGTTTGCTTACCATCTCTATTACAAGTAGAGAAACTGATAGCGAACAGCATGGATCCTGATCAGACTGCGGGGATGCGCAGGCTGGTCTGGATCCATGCTGGTCGCAAACACACTATGTTGGTTTTGTCATGACATGGCTCATATGTATTTTGATAGTTATGTATGGGGAATACGTAGTTGTCAGTAAATGTTTTAATGAATCTATAGATCATTTCCGTGATCATTTTGATACGGCAGCGTCTGATATATTATACATGATTAAGGAAAGTCCGGGGTTTGTATATCCATCTCACCTTACAAATTAATTCTTCTATCACTTGGTACACTAAAGGCTATAGTCAGTCTTTTTCTTTTGCTTCTAGAGCGATGTCGGGTATATTGGGACATCTAAGGCATATTTGTTACTGTGATTTTAAATATGCTTATTTCAGTATTGGCATTGGATACTTAGGATAAGCTCTGTTTGACTATCGTCTATAATGGGCCACTATCATAAGCATATACAAAACAAACGTGATATACCTTGTTAAACAGAAGAGCATGAGGAGGCAGTTTTGGGACACGTCGGGTATTTATGGACAGAAAGAAGGGCATTTTGGGACACATTAATTTTAGTGTAAAAATTTTGTAACAAAACATAGAGCAGTATCTTATTTTGCATAATTCAATTTGATTGAAAATTTCTTTTAAATAACAAGTCTAAATCAAATATAATACTATTTTATGATGCTTGATAGATCTATAGAGTATGTGAGGTCAAATGGTCTAATGTATCTGTTCATTCCAATTAGGTACTACAAGAGGGTTAATGCCCCTTTCTGTATGCATTTAAACATCTTCAGAAGCATGAAGACACAATCAAAGTCTGAGACAGCACAGTGAGGGATTTAAAATGTCTGAGGGCTTCTGCAGATCTTAATGCATGAAAAAGGTGCATTAATTAGCGCTATTCTTGGACAAATGCTTTAAACGTGATGGTCATGTATATTTTATAGCACATTTAATAAGAAAAGGACTGTTGCAGGAGTAGCATGTTTAAGTGTAATGCTAGTTTCCATAAAAAAATTATCTGCAAGATTATTGTCATCACAATAAACTAATATGTCATAATCTCTAAGGAGTCAGGTTCCCTTTTCAGTTTTTTCCGCTTTAAGTCTGAGTCAATTTGTTTTATCCTCATTTTCTCTGCCCTTTCTATAATTTTGGATTAAGATGTTTTTTGTTCCGTTTTTTTAAAAAACATATCTGACATACAAACACACCTTCACTGAGTTCATGATACGTTTCTATAATATCAAATAACATAATAAACATTTGATATTCACGTGTCCCAAAACACCCTACATCAATAAAATGTTGTCGGGAGTTTTGGAACCACATTTTATGATGAATCAAGTAGTATTAACAACTAAAATATGATCAAATTATGATCAGGGGATTTTTTACATCCTAAATTTTAGTTTACTTCTACAAAATATATCATAAACAGGTTTTATGAATTTAAGTATTGGCTATTTTTTCTTAAGCTTATTATAAAACAGTGGCATGATTCTCCTAAATTTCACATTATGCAAAAAATAATAATATTCACTTAATGTACAGGCATTAGGTTGAAGCCAGCAGAATAGAGGATGATTGATTTTCATTTCTAATTGAAGAACTTAATGGAATTATACTTCTAAATGTTATAATGAGAAGCGGTGCAAAATACCCGACGGTTCACATATACCCTACAACGCTCTATATTTTATATTTACATTTGTTTGCGCAGCGTTCACGTAGTCATTGAACGCCTAGCGTCATTTTGTTAATTGTGCTTCAATGAAACAGGCAAAAGTTGTAATAAGGCTGTCCTTTTTGTAATGCTTTGTAAATCTTAGCTTTTTCATATGATAAAAACAGTGATTGACTAGTGAACCATTGAATATGATGTGGTATTTATTGGCAGAGAGTCATATTGACCTTGGCTTATCACCTCTGTCAATATGTCAGTTGCTGCTGAATATCAAATCATATTCATCAACTCGCTATTCAATAATTGTATTATGTTGTAACTTTATTTTACATGTCACATGTATTATAAAAGTAATTCAATATATGATATGTGTATATTTTTCAGATGGTCGCTGGGTGAAGGTTGTGTACACAAGTGTTGTGAAAGATGATTTGTTCACATTGAAAAATATCAAGGACATGTGCACTCTAGAAGAGAAGTTTATAACATCAAAACCACTTTATAAACGAAATTGTCTTAGACAAGCTGACCATTCTCAATGTTGTCGTACATTATCACTCGGAAACTACATAGCGCTGCTCACAGATAAACCTAGTTGCTCAAACATTACCGAGGAAGATGTTAAAACAGTGAAAAATTTGATACAGACATGTGTTGAATTTTACCACGACTTTTCTCTCAGTTCAAGCTGTGATACTAGACATTCGCCATATGGGGAGAAAATCGGCTGCAAAGATAAGAAAATTCCAGAATATTGTAAGGATTATAATGCCGTGTATAATGTGATGCATTTTATATCTGATCGCTCATTCCAAAGATCAGACCAAAAATTGACTTACGCTTTATCATTCTTGCCAGTATCATTCCAAAGGGTAGCAACGTCACAGAAACTTGATGATGCCATAAATCTGTATCTTGATATTGAATCAAACTTAGACAGTGTTGGCAACATAGAATTAGTTGCAGCAGATTTCGGCATTAAAGATCATTTATTTCATCATTATCTAGCCAAAGATAGTAAATGGATCACTATAAGTGGAGTTGTTATATTTTTTGTTATATGGATTTTCACGGGGTCTATTTTTATAACCATTATGACATTTCTTTCTATGTTCTGGTCTTTAGAACTTTCATATTTTTTATATGTGTTTGTTTTTGAAATCAAATTTTTTCCTTATATGAATCTTGTTACAGTTTTATTAGTGATTGCCATAGGAGCAGATGATGTTTTTGTATATTCAAAAATTTGGCACCTTGCTAAAAAGGAAAGAAATAATGGTACTTTAGAAAAGTTAGTTTCAGACACCTTAAAACATGCTTCTTTATCAATGTTTGTAACCAGTCTTACAACTGCAGGTGCTCTTTTTGCAAACATGGTTAGTCCAATAACATCTATCAAATGCTTCAGTATCTATGCAGGAACAACAGTACTGTGTAATCTTGTTGTCATGGTAACCTGGACGCCAGCAGCTATTGTTGCTGAAGAGAAGTGGTGTAATTTTTGTTTCATCAACAGTCCTCGAATTTACAGAAAGTTACATGAATATTATCGTTGCTTTTTTGAAAAATTACTGCCAAAATTTATTTTATATCTGCGCTATTTATGGATTGTTTTACTAAGTGCTATAGGTATTATCAGTGGCATTTTAGTGTTTCATAACCCAAAGTTACGCCTACCTACCTCATTTCATTTTCAAATGTTTCGAGATGATCACCTAATGGAGATGTATGACCAGCAATTACGGGAGAATTTCTGGTTTGAGAAAGCTGTTGGTGATCAGAAACCTCTGATGCCATTGACTATTGTGTGGGGAGTTGATAATATTGACAATGGTGATCAGCTTAACCCATATGACAAAGGAAGTGTACAATATGATCCGAGCTTCAATCCAAGTACCAAACAGTCACAGGCTTGGCTTCGCCATTTCTGCACCAATCTTCGTAAAACTGGATTCTATAAAAAAGTGACACCTTTTGAATGGTCTAATTGTTTTATTGAACATTTTATCATTTCCATGAAATCACCTTGTCCTAAAGGAGAATTTATTTGTTGTAGACAGCCTATATTTCCTTATAAAGAAAATATTTTTAATGCTTGTATTAAGAAATACATTCCAAAGTTAATGAACCAAGAGCTATATTTTGCAGATAAGCTTTCTCCTGGACTTAAGTTTAGAAATGGTAAGATCTCTGCATTGATTGTACAATTTTCCTCAAATTTAACATTTACATATGATTATGAAGTTGTAGATGCTTTCTTTAAAGGTGTCAATAAATGGGTGCATGAACAACTGAAGACGGCACCAAATGAAATGAAAAAGGGATGGTTTACCAGTGAATTTAAGTTTTTTGGCATCCAGAAAAGTTTGGTAGAGGGCTTGCCTGTTGCTTTTGGTATATCTATTCTTGTTGCAACAGCAGTGACATTTTTTACATCTCTCAATGTTCTTATAACTCTTTATGCCATGGTAACCATAGCTTTTACAATGTTAGTTATTGTTGCATCTATTGTTTTGATGAACTGGGAATTAAATATTTTAGAGTCTGTCATCATCACAGTGTCAGTAGGATTATCCATAGACTATACATTACATTATGGGGTAGCTTATAGACTAGCTCCAGACCTTGACAGACAGAATAGAGCTTACTGTTCTTTTGTTCGTGTTGGTGGTATCATCTTTGTTGCGGCTCTTTCTACTTTCCTAGCTGGATTGTTTATGCTTCCATCTGTGACATTAGTTTATCAGAAGTTTGGAATATTTCTTGTCTTGGTCATATCTATCAGCTGGGTTTATTCCACTTTATTCTTTCAATCTTTGCTCAATGTGATGGGTCCACAAGGCGGGTTTGGACAATTTCATTGGCCATCACTTGACTGTTGCTCAATGTCCTCCCAAAGTCACATTGATCGAACTGTGTACACGATGTCAGAGTCTACAATGTCGACATCAAGCTCTGGTTATCCCTATCATCCCAGCATAGATACAAATGCCACTGAGCATGATTACCTACCTGACAGGTCTGACTCTCATCAAGGTACTCCGTATTACCGTACCAGACCTGGCCGATATTACTCCAGACCTAAGAGTGAAAGTGTGAGCCCAGATAATCACTCTGAAAGGAAATTACTCAGTAGTGATGATAAAAGTAGTTCGGCAGATAGAAATAGTGGTAACGAGAATGTGTGTCGTATTGCTGTGGAAGTACATGACAATTTGCACACTGATTCTGATAAACAAAGTACTGAGGTGTAAAAATTATTTTAAAAAATATACAGTTTATGAAATCACCATTGCTGTGAAAATACCATATTTTAGCTTTAAAATGTTACTTTATATGTTTATAAAATGATGTAAGACGATTTTTTTCTAATAAATTTTGGTACTAGTATATTTACTGGTTAATCATAAGATATTTTTTACTAAAATTCATAGGGATTAAAGATTTTTTGTAAACTGGATGAAACAATTTCATTTCCTCTGTAAGAGTTCTAGAGTAGAGATAGCATTAAATATCTGAATAAATAAGTTTATAACATGTATGATAATAGTAAGTGTTGATAAATTGATACTAAGGACAAAAACTTATCTTTTTGATAAATTGAAGAGAAATTTTAAATTTTGTATATTGTTATTTCAGGATATTTTTGATTTGCGGTCATTACATTTGTTCCAATAAGACAATCACTGTATCTATTTATAAAATATGTAGCACTGTTTTATATATATGTGGAATATCAACAGTAACTACACGATTGGTTGTGCCCATTATGTCGTACGTTGACAAAGTCTAAATTTAAAATAAGGGGAAAATAGCATTAAATTCATTTGTAGTATTCAAGTTGAATTATATTTTATTTTTGTTTATATTTACAAATTATATAAGTATTTACAGATTTTTATATTAAAATGTTTATTATTTGAGATTAACAAAGGTTGAGGTTTTTTAGAAAATTATTTTCCTGGTTAATGTCCGTCCATCTGTCTCACATGTTAGAGACATGTTAGACAAAAAGGTAAAAAATGAAATTATATTACTCATTTTGAATCACAGTGGATGAAATATAATAATGTAGACAATTATGTTAAAATAATAATCTCAAGATTGAGCTTTTGTCAGTCTGTTTGCCAGTCTGTCAAGCTGTTTTTCCATCTGTCAGCCTGTTTGTTTATCACTGTGTTTGTCTGTCTGTCTGTATGTTTGTTAGTATGTCAGTGTGATTGTCGGTGATAACTTGTGTTCAGCAAAGTTTTTAGTTTTCATATTGATTAATATTAAATGTTTACATTGTATTTAGTTATAATATTTTATAAAATTTCATTTTTATTCTATTACCTCTTTTTATCCTGTTCGATTAATTCAAATAGTATTGCCATTTGGTCATGTCCATAATTCTATTTTTTAAAACAATGTACAACAAGAACTCATGTTTTAACCAAAAGTAGTTATAGATCAGCAAAGCTGAAACTTACATTTAGATATTTTTTATTTATCTTTATTATTTGAAGGAAATATTTATAGAGTATGTCGCCATGACAACTATTGTTAAATGCAATCCTATTATATAACTATAAAATACTTGCCAAAGTCCTTTTATTGTTATGACATTAAATTAAATGCAGCAGTTATTACATGGCAGTTTTTACTGTTTTACTGTTTTAACTCCGACATAATATTGTTGGTTGATCATGGTAAATATCTAAATATTTTAAATCACTAAGATCAAAATTTGACAGGACCAAAAAGAAAGTAGGACATGCCACTATATTTGGGTGAGTTTGTAATTATAACAATGTTTCAACTTTCATCTTAAAGACTTTCATTTTTAAGAAAAACTTTCATATATTGATAAAAGGCAAAATTTTATTTTTATTTTCAACTATTCATATGTAGAGGATAGATAACATAGTTTTGTATAGTATATAGAGTTACAATAATGTTTTTGTAGATTATCCAAAGTTATGAGATTACATGTGTTTATATTATATATATATAAGTCAATGATAATTGTTAATTTATGAATAATAAAATGTCATACAAACTTGTTTTATCTTATATATATTTTTACATTTTATCTTATGTATATGTTACATTTTTTTAAATATATATTTTACACATATGTTTGAACAGTGACATTATATCAATGATGCTTCAAGGTATGTTGATGATATATATATATATATAGATGTTGACAGATGTATACCTGCAGGTAAAATATAGGTGGTAACAGATTTTACAAGAAATTATAAACTGCCCGTCATGTTCTAACCTCCAGTCCGTCTGCTCTACTCAATATGGAGAACATCAGATTTGTAACAGAAGGGTCACAGGTTTGATTCTAGGGAGAGCCGAAATTTCTCTATCATTGATCATGCCATGGATATTTGGTCCAATGGTCATTTGTATCTCAGCACTGGATAAGTAGTCAGTACTAGTGCAGTGATTGGTGGTTACTGGTTAGTTATCCAGGAGACCAACTACCGGATTATAACCAAAATTATGTTAAAATTGGTGTAAAAACCAGTCAAGCAAATAAAATAGTGAAAACCAGAATCCCAAAACAACGCTCAACACAACCCTCTATTAAAATATTGATTATTTATTATTTTATGCATAAACCATCATTTGTATGCCACAATAAAGACCCATTGAACTCCCTGAAAGTAGAAATGGACTGTACCAAAGACAGTGGTAAAAAATTCACATAAGTTGTTTTATAAGACTCGATTCTTATTCTTTCAAAAACACTGGGTCACAATAATTTTATATGAATACTAAATCACCTGTACAAAGTACATTTAAACAGAAAGGTAAACATGTGTTTAACAAGCTGATGGTTATTTCAAGATGCTCATCTTTTAAAGACCATACTTTCACTGACATTCTAATATCAAATCATGTACTCGGATGACGAGAAGTCTCAATATTAGGATATCTATCTCCTAATATAATGTTTCACATCACAGTCAAAGTAAATAAATAAAATAAGTTTGTTATATATAATTTATTACCAGAATTGAATCAGTGACATACATGAAATATTGACAAAGACATTGCTACAGTTTGAGAAAATATTCCTTCATTAACTATTCAAAGATAAATGTTTTTATTTTCTCATATAATTTGATGATGTCATTATACTGTCAATTCGGATATTCTGTATTTTCCTCTCCTCTAAAGCAAATTGATCTCGTGCAACTTGTGCTAAAAGCAAAAAACGAAAAGTATGCTTGTGTAGAGGAAAAGCGTTTATATAATGGTTTGTAAGCAATGGTGATTATGTGCCTGAACTATTATAACACTTCATTAAATTTTGTCCCGGAACAGAGGGAAAAGACAGAATATGTAAATATGAGAAATTCAAATGAAGAGGAAAATATGCAAGTCTCCACATTATTTAGGATGAATAAATGTATTGTTGTTTTATAATTTATGATTAGCATAATGTTATAGAAGTGGCAGGAAATTCAACAACAAAAAATAAACAAATAACGTCAACAATGAAAAACACTGAAGTTACTGAACGTCTGTAATAGTGGGGACATTGCGTGTCCAAGGGAGAGAACCTGTACATTTTTTTGCATTTTCTAAATAAGAGTTATCTCTCATCTGGCTGCCAAAAATTTCCTTCCTGAAAACAGAAGAAAAAAATGTTTTCAAAGTTGCAATAAGCTGAATAAAAATGAGCCGTGTCACGACAAAACCAACATAATGGCTTTGCGACCAGCATGGATCCAGACCAGCCTGCGCATCCGCGCAGTCTGATCAGGATCCATGCTGTTCGCTATCAGTTTCTTTACTTGTTATAGAGTTTGAAAGCGAACAGCATGGATCCTGATCAGACTGCGCGGATGCGCAGGCTGGTCTGGATCCATGCTGGTCGCAAAGCCATTATGTTGGTTTTGTCGTGACACGGCTCAAATGATGTGACGGATAATGTTCTGTGTATTAAATTAAATCTTATGACTATTTTGAGGAAAAAACAACAACATGAAAATATTGCAACATGTTAAACACTTTACCTACCCACATGATGGACTTATTCTATTGTGAATTAAGAACTGCATGTAACTATTGACAACTGTAGGGATTTCAATATTAAGATTCATAAATTTACCAGACTATCATCTCAGTTCTGATTTCATGCTGCACAAGTGTGCACTCTGCTTTAGTACTTTAGTGAGATCAATACTCAAGAGCAGGAAGTTTAAAAAACGAACAATTTATATAAGGTTACCTGTCATAGTCTCTGGCATTATAAAATCTTCCATGGCAGTGGTTCGGAAGTTGTTTCCTGTAAAATAATTATTCTAGGTGATAAGTATAAAAACAAACATACTCGGAACAAATGAGTAAATTTTGTGACTATTGCCGAAATCATAGTACATGTACGTTATCTATAAAAAATCTACTAACATTTCAAAGAGCAAATCCCTATATTTTTTCCATTGCAATCCAATCTATTAAAATTAGAAGGGTATTATGAGTTTCAAGGAGAAGCAGGCAACTTTATGATTTATTTTTGTATAAAATGATGGTGTCACTTGTGTTTTATAAAATATGCGATTGGAATATTTAGATAGTTTTACATGTATCAATGCATATATTTCAATTCGTACTTATTGTATATGTAGATATACTTGTTAGTAAGCGTTTGTTCATTGTGTTATTGACATTTGAAACTATGCGTTTATATCACAAGTCCTAAAAAGTGCCAGATAATATCAGTAAAGTGTCAGCGACTTACTTCCGGAAGTATCTTCGTGGAACAAATGTGATTGTGAAATCTCCTTTCTTGTTACTCTATCATACTTGTCTATCACCCGTAGTTGAGCATCAGTTAATCTGCAAAATATAATAGATAGTAAAAAATATATTGAAGTCTTAAAATTGTCCATCAGTGGCTTTTGTCTGTGACTTTTGTCATCAATCTGTATTTTTGTCGATCTATAACCGTTCCTCGGTCTTTGACATTGTAGCATTTAAAAAAAACTCAGTGAATGAATTACGTCAAACATCATATATACTGTTACTGATGGTAATTGAGAAACTTATTTGGTGTACACGGTTACACGTGCAGCATGCAATAAGTGTGTATGGATGAGAGTACCCAAACCTCATAACTAAATTGCTAAACATTCATTTGATTTGATGCACGCTGTTACACAAGCAACACGCAATAAATTTTTGATGAATGAAACTACCCAAATAGCAAAAATTCATTTTATTGTTTATTTTAACCTGAAACTGTTTTCGACAAAGTATCAAACAATCACTGACAACAGTGTTGTTACATTACTGCAATGAGGACTTATTCATCGCAGCTAGACAATATAGTGCCCAAATAGACTGTAGTACCATTATATTTTGTGAGCAATAAGTGATAGCATGTGTTGCTGTACATGGTACCTACCATATCGCTACATACTAGTATATAACCAATTATTTATAGAAATTATAACTTACGATCTAGACACCATTGGCCCGTAGTCTTTCATCATAACAGAAGTAGTGTTAGACTGTTCAGGGTATGGTTCTATATAGTTCATTCTAGCTGGCAAGCTCTCACGAGTGTTTGTTATGAACGGGTCGGCAGCTTTCAAATCTAGGATATTTTCACTGTGTGTCAAATGTTGGGCTTTTCTTGGAGGAGCAACTTCAACCTTTCCTGTAAAATTAATCATAAAGTGATCCTTCAATATTTCGTATTAACACAATGGATTTAAATCATCTAAGCTATTTCAATTGTGGTATATAGTTTATAACATGACTCTTAGTTACAAAAAATGTTGTAAAGTAACTATTATAATTGGACAGATAAGAAACAACTGAACTCGCCTGCTGCCGGAATCTCCATGTCATTTTTCTTATCTCCTTGAAATTTCATTTGTGTTTCTGATGAAAAATCGAAAGGTTCATATCCCACAGTAAAATGCGTGGTGCGACCATCAGTCCAGCGTACTTTGCTCTCTTTTCGGTTCTTCTTGCGCCTTCTTCCCGCGCTTTTCCCGCGCAACTTTATACCGGCAAAATTATGCTGAAAAACGATAAGCATTTCATTTTAGCTAGCATATAATTAAAATAACAACCAGCAAAAAGAGTGCATGCTTTGTATTTAGAAAAAGAATATAATGATTACGTTGATAATACGCTCAAGTTGCTGGCATACGCATGTAAGTGGTTCAATTTTCAAACGATTTGATTTTTTCAATGATGAAAGCTCTGTTATACTAACTTACAGAATACATTATTGTGACATAATATATGTATGACCCCTAATATCCTTCTCTATCAATAAAGCAAGATAGAGCAAAAATACGAATTAATAAACTAGATCTACAAACACTTAGTTACTATCATCAGATATTTTTCTCGAGATAATTAATGAATTCATTGTTGTAAATATTGTTGTTTTGTTTCCTTACTGCAGCCTCGGAAGTATCTTTAGGTGGAGCAGGATAGGGGAGAGCGTCGTCTGTCTGAAGATAATCCACATACACGTCATGTCTCTCAGCCATCTTAGGTGGACAATATTCTTTTGGTGGACCTTTGTAATCTGAGTGATTTACTGAAATAAAACAATAACATCTCCTAAATCCGATTTTATTTTCGCTTCTATAGTCAAATATTGTCTGTGTGTCTATGTTTTTGTTACTTCTTAAATTAAAAGATAAATATGTATTCGTTTGGAAAATGAGCTTAGTATTTAACCAATCATTGAAAAATAATGATAAAAGAAACATTTTACTTACATGACTTTTGTCTATCTGTTCTATGTCTTCCTAAATCAAAACTAAAGACAACATTGTCTGTATCTCGTCTGTCAAGATTCATCTCCAGTGCTGTTTTACCCTTGGAATTCTGACAACCAACAAACATATGATAAAATACCAAACGTAAACCATTAAATCTTCTTCCACACAACAGAAAATAAAATACCTACCGGCTTAAATTTTGTCAATCAGACATGTGTATTGTCTTTTTTTGTTTATAACATTCTCACTTAATATATGTTAAGGAAATATATATTTTATGTAATTTTCTCTCATGCCAAAGCAAGTAAACGTTTTCTATGTTTAACGAAAATGCGCTTGTAATGTTTAATATGTTCTTGGTTTTCGGCTATTCGTTTATTTATTGTTAAACAGTTGGAGAATATACACACGTTTACTTATATTTGTTTAAAATCTTACTGATACTGATTACAGTGAAAGTAACTTGATAAAACACAATATAATATGATATAACACTGCAAAACAACCTTTAAACGTATTATAATTATGTTATGGAAACAAAGAATTATAAGAACTGACTTCCATAACTGTAATTCCGAAACATAGTCAATAAAGAAAATAGAATCATATAACAGTAACTTTGTGTATAATACGTAATCAGTCTTATGCACATTAACATATATAAATAAATTAATCTTTTTGGCCAAAATCTAGTACTTTTTAAAAACGTATTTATAAGAGAATATTGTTAAAAGAACAAAAAAATTAATTTACAAATTGACAAACTTTTCAGCTTTCAAACCAATTGTAAATGTTACCAAATACCATTGTTGCAAAATAGCATAAATACCTTGCTTGCATTAGTAACTAATAGAAATTTGTGATAAATATGCAAAATTCAGTTTCCTAATCGCACATATCTTTAAAAATAATTTAAATAATAATTGAAATCTTATTTTTCTTACTTTTCTTAAAATCTTAGTTCATTTTTTCTAAAGTTTAATTTTCTTGAAATATTTTGGCTCATCTGGAGGCATGTAGCTAAGAAATAAAAAAAATGTTTATTTTCATGCATACTTATCTTGCCTGACAATAAATAATTGAATTTAAATTAGTAAAATTGTGAAAATTACATGTAATTGTATAAAGTCTCTTTTATTTAAAACGTCAAGTACCTTGCCAGCTGAGGGTGTTGGTTTAACAATGGGCGGGGCACGGTCGACCATTGCTGATAATAAGAAATCCTTAGCATAAACAGAATGACCGGATTCTGCATCATGGCCAAACTGAAACAACACAGAAAAGTTAGGATTGCATAAAAATATATACAATAATTGATTACATTGCTTTATTTCTTTCGATAATGAATGTTCAACAAAATCGTTGTCTGGTACATGCATTTAATTTTGAAAAGATAGCACTTCATTCTAAGAATGAGTTTTGGCGTATACATTTAAATATGTAAAATAATAGACAATATAATAATCTAAACTTACGTGGAAATGTGCATTTGTTTGATATGTTCGGCCGTCAGATGCCTCTGAAAAATAAAACAATTTATCTCTTTAGAATACATGTACATCGTATGTAAATATTCTTTTAACTTTATTTCATTTACACGTTAAGATACATAACGTATTTAATATTATGCAGTAAAAGAAGCTTATGTGAAGTCTTCATTAATGATATATTAATTATATCTATTTGGTTATAATATCATTTTATTTCACCAGATCTCATTTTAGTGCAATTAGTATTACAATGCTCCTGTGGCACAGAAAACAAAAGTACACTAACTCCAATGGTGCCCACTTCTAGAGAAATACAGAAGAGACGTGTGAAGTAAAAGCACTTTCCTGGAATAGAGACTTTGAGGAAATAAAGGACAGGACCTTTCACCAATGACTGTGTAGGAAGGCGAACAACAACAAGAAGATGATAATATTGATGAGAAAGAACATATCGTTTATAGATTATACCTTTAAACACTGTGGGTACAGTAATTTCTCTAGCAAACTTCTGTAATTGGTTCGTATTGGCGTATGGACCGAATTGATTTTCTTCATCCTCCTCTTCCTCTTCACCAGCTACTGGCTTCTTCTTCTGATGAGGTCTTAAATGTGTAAACATCGTGTATGGTGTTTAGGTTTTTTATAAATTATAACCATCACTCTCTAAACATTCATAATGATTTTATTAACAACAATTCGTTGTAATATAAATATATGTACATTCAAATGGATGTGTTTTGACTCCTTTGTATAGCATTTGTAATGAATGTGCACATAGAAGAACTCATGGGTCCTTGTAAATCATAACTTTTACATAAAATATTAATCATCAGTCAAACTTAGTGACATTGATGCTTATAGTTACGATTGATTAAATTATCATACATGTACATTAAAAAAATACACATTTATATTCAATAGACTCCAATAAATTCTATTTGAATACAATTCATGATAAATAAGTATTGTTTTACAGGAACTTACAATAAAATTTGTAGTGAGGCTTCACCCGGTGGTACAGTACGAGGTCCATAGTCATTGTTACAGACTGTTGTAAAATCACCAACTGTAAATATACATTATTATTGTTTTTGCTTGTGTCAAACATTGTATAGTTTACTAAGTTGTAACAGTAGATTTTGTGCTTCGCAAAAATCACCTAATATTTTCCTGTAAATCCGGACTCTTTCTTTCATTTCATTAGCAATAGAATGAGTATTAAGGAATGTAAAGATGTCGCCAGACAATAAACAGACTGGGTTACTTTGCCATCTGTCCATATCAAAATGAGCGATAGTGATAAACACATAGTGAAAAGTGTATCTGTCGAATAAGATATACAAGAGGAGAAATAAGTTAGCTTCAACAGTAACATACATGTAATCAAATACATATACTACTCTTAATATTTATTTCAACGATCATTAATTTAATAAAATTCAAGCTAAAATTTCAAGTTTTATTAAATGAAGATCACATTATTTAGATGTATCTTACCTATGCCATTGTAATCCCCTCCTCTGAAAACATGTGACACTTTGTCCATCTCTTTCATACTTTTGTTGATGTCACTAGCAGCGTTTCTCTCCGCGTTTTCTGGTTGAAATGCGCGTGATCCTCTTCCGAACGCTCTCTGTTGCTCACTTATCAAACTATCACAAGATGTAAGTAAATTATAAAGTTAGCTCAATCTTATTTCAATAACATTAACTGAAGCCTTATCAGTCAACAAATAAATATGAAGTTATTCCCCTTACATCAAAAATGAGATAAACGTTTTGCATATTGGAATATCATTTTACTAACTATTACTTGTCGTATCTCATCTTTTAATCTAATTTTTATCATTTATAAGATGTTAAATTTTGTATTTAATCTATTTCCAATGTTCCGTTTTTTGGAAGGAAACTGTTGGAGTCATAAGCGCAACAATATACTGTTGTGCCATATAAGTAAATCAGAACAAAATCTATATATATAAGGCAATCACTTTTCAAGAACCAGCATTTTGACGTTTTACGAAAACATCAAAAACATCAATTTTTAGCGTTTCATAAAATACTGCTGTATCTATTATATTAAAAAAAATGTTTCCAACAATGTATAACTCTGATAATAACAGTAGCACAGCGTGACACTGTCACCTTGAGTGGAAGTTGATATTATTTTTCATTTAGATATTATCTTTTTCATTTCATTATAATTTTAAGTAATTATTTTCTTTTTTAATTGTGTTTTACGTAATAAGCCTACTCACCCGTCATTGTCACTACCTAGGGAGAAATTAGTATTTCTCTGTCTCCAGAACTTTGTTGGATCGAGGGGTAACTGCAGTTTAGAGGTATCAACACGGGGGTAGTTGGGAGCTGATCGATGACGAAGCTGAAACGTAACATGTTCATCAGGTTAGATAGGAGAAAAACCACGCTTAAAAATCTCGTAATATCATATTTGAATTATAATTGAACTTTAACTTTAACATTTCATTAAATTACCTTTCTTTTGTAACATAGCATACTTTATGTTGTGTTAAAAGTGTCAGCATTATATAACATCCAACAAAGAACAATGTTGGTTTATTTGTGACGTAAATTTTTACGTTGCCGACTTACGTTTTTGATAAACGATGTTGTGTACTCTGAGGGTCCGACACGTCGATCTGAGAGGTAGCGTGGTGCCATGTCCTGAAAAACAATAAACAGTATTCATTTAGATTGTCAGGATTAATATTGTTTCATAAATTTATTTATTCTTTGCAGGATCACATAATATTATAAAAGAGAATTTTATGATTTTCGTGTGGGTTTATTTTTGATGTCATTTCAAGGGCGGAAACCAAAACCCATGTCGTGTGAACTGACCATTATATAAAGTATCTATATGTGTGAAGCTTTTGTCATTTTCGACTCCCACAAATACTTGCCAAGAGACACTTGTCTAACGTTTGTCTCGATATAGTCACAAAGTAACACTTCTCTACTCACAAGATCTAAACCAAGGTGATATTTTATATGGCACACGGCATCAGCTGTAGACTGTGCAATAATACTTCTAGCTATCACTCCTGAACCGTATAGTCGTGAAAATGTTTAGGTTTCGGGTTGACAAAATTGTTCGTTACATAAAATCATATTTGTACGGTAACATGTTTAGGTGTCGACAGGTGACATTTTAATTGGCCCAAACACCTCACCGTACATTTGATTTGTTTCATGATTATCTTCTGGACTAGTACATATATAAAATGTTTTTAACAGATAATAAGTTAAATAATATTTTACCGGCCAGTTGATTTCTCTTCTCTCTCCCTGTATTTCCGGCTGAAATTAAATATATAGGTTTAATTTTGGTTATAATTACTACGTATTTTATTTAAGTATAACAATACAAAGCCTTTTCCTTAAGAGTCAGTAATTTCGCTTATAAATGTAGTAGTTTATTTTCGCATTTTACATACGTATCATATTTTACTTCACTTTTCTGCTTTTGTCTTATATTTTTCAAACAAATCTGACCATAATATTTTCTCAAGAGTGTATATTGTTACAAATAAAAAGTTTTTAGCAGAGGTTGCTTCCCCTGATAAGCACAGAAAATAGCAACAGTGTGCACGACGTTTATTTTTGTCAGCTGAATGTGAGCCTTAATTTTCTCCCGAAAACACGCTTAAATATTTTATGTAAGCGGAGAAATTTGTTGTCTTTCACGAGTATAACCTTTATTAGGAAATGTTTTCATTCACATGTATACCTAAATTTTACAAAGAAAACGCTAGTGTGAAAAATAACTGAATCAAAGAAAACAGACCTTTAGAATTTTATTTTTCCTGAAATCAGTCATGGTTGTGCTACGTCTAAATATGTCCTTGTCGAGGAATTTGCCGCTCATATTGCCCATGTCGAAATGATGTACTAGCTGGAAAAATATAAAATGAATAATAAATGTTCATGTACAATTCTGTTCATTTTTGAATGTCGCTAATGCATCTATAGGTAGTGGTCACTTAAATCCAGTAATCGTAATCGAATGAATTTTTCATTAAAATCATGAAGGATCACAGTTACTGTCTGAACTCTTTCATCTGATATTGAAGGCAATAAATGACTTTTAAGGAATACAAAATGTTAATAAAATGACATAAACACATATGTGGGTGTTTCTAATTTCATGTTTCAATGTTCAGTTCTGCTTGAGCTAGGGGGCGCGGTTGTGGACTGTTGTTTGCATTAACCACTGCCGTCCATGAACAGATGAAAGTATCAAAATAAGTAAACATATTAACGCGGTTATTCAAATAATTCCGGTAAAAGCTCTGCCAGATGTACGAAAATGTCATATAAAATGCTACCATGTTATCTTATGTCGAGATAATGTTCAATGAAAAAGTGGTAAATTTAAAGACTTCTCCTAGATAGTAACCGTACTGTAACGAGATTTTACCGTAATTAGATGTTATTGCATCTAAAATATTGATAAGTTATAAAGATGTCCGACATGTTATATGACACAGTATCAACATCCGTTAGCAGAATTAATGGATTTGGAAAAAAACAAATCATAAATTTACAACAGTAGCGTATAAAGATTATATAAACGCTACGTTAATCCTGTGAAAAATGACGTTACAGCATTATTATTTAATCACAAACGCGTGTTGCCCATAAAATACGTGACGTGACGTCATTTGCGCCATACAAAAATAGCGTAAAGGCGCGCTAAATGAAAAACGGATTTACTGTAAAATTTCTTAATTATGATGTATGATTTCTTGCAGGACAGGAATATCTACTGTTTACACCGGTGCTAGAAAAACCTACCATACAACTCCCATGTAAGACAAGTCGCGTGCTTTAAATGACGTCATTGCCTCCGCATTTTATGAATGAATTGCGTTTAAGGATGACGTCATTTTACCATTATGAATGAAGTGGTAAGTTCATACGCTGCTTTAAGAAAAAAAGTGCATAATGAGAATACCAGTTTTCGTCATTTCTGTTCTGAAAATAATGCAAGAAAAAGAATCAAACACCAGCTGTCGCTACAGACGGGAATATCTAGCTCTCGGTAACTGTTTAGCAAAAAAAAAAAAAAACTCGGCAGAACCTCGTTACCGCCATAAACAGTTGCCCTCGAGCTAGATATTCCGGTCTGTACCGGCAGCCAGTGTAAGATTCTTATAATATTACATACCCGTGCTGTTTTTGCAACTTCGTAAAAACGGTATTACAAGGCATTTATTTTTACGAGACGCCAATAACGTTGTATAAACATAGACTAAAGACGCGCTTACTGTTAGCACGTCAATGAAAAAGTGGTTCATTTTTACAGTAAACAGTTCTTATTGCATGTGATAAATAGAAAATTATATTCAAAATTTATCGAACTCGTTCAATAAATAATATTATGCTTGTCAGAGGTTCGCATAATATAATTTTATTCAATTCGTCAAATAAATTCAGTATTGGATCAACACTCATTCAATATCATCTATCGACGTTATTAATAGTTTGATGATGTAACAATAACATGATTTTACAACAGTTGATGTTAAATTAATTACAATATCAATAAATTAATACAATCAGTATATTGATCCCAGTCATAATTTATAACAATCGTGCAGGGTATTTAAATTTTAAAAATCTTTATATATGTAAATCAATAATTCGGTTAACTTAATAAATAGAATAGGTCTAGTACACGGTATCAAAGTGTTTGATTTATTGGGCAAGATTTCATACTTTACAAGCATTAACTGACGGGGTTTAATCGTATAAACATTTGTCAGTAATCAGCTCTTCTTAATCCATCATAGCTTCAAATTCAATATCCTTTAATCTGTCTAACCGTTTGTAAAAAATAAACCAATGTTTAAAATGCAAAAGGTGGCTCCAGACTGTCATAGAAAGAAAAAGAGGAAAACTGTAACTCTGCATTGAAAAATTGCATTTTTTTAATTATGTTTTACTAGGTCCGGACAAAATGTTGCTGATAATCCCTGATTATGTCATGAAATGTCTGAAAGTGCCTACATGGCTATAAAACCTCTGTCTGTATGTTCTGTCTCGAATTTCAGGATTATCAAAAGTCAATATTCATTAAATGCTGGTTTTTGACCAATCAAATACCTGAGCTCTAAGTTGAGCACAGAAAATGTTCTTTATAAAATTGAAACCGTGGTCTTGTATGTTCAGTTTAGAGTATAGGTAATTTCTTAGATTAATAAATGTGAAGGTCATGTTATCTTTTGTTGAAATTTCAGTTAACTTTCTAAAATACAATGTATTGTCAAATTGAACAGGAAGATTAAGACAAGTTATATAATGCAAAGTTGGAATAAATAAATCTATATCGTTTAAAACTTTGCTAAGCTTGTTTACATGGGAATGTCTCGCTAAATTTGTTGACATATGACAGACAAGTTTTGCCTTTGTCTCATTTTAAACGTATGATTTTATCTGCTTATACCTGACTTGAAGTTCCAAGCTTGCTGTTTGGATCCAAGACTGCACCCTGAAAGTATAAATTACTATACATACATCACTGTGTAATTTAATTAATTTCATCTTGAACTGCCGAGATGTTAAAACAAAGTTCTATCATTCTTATAATATATTCAACCTTAAAACATGAACTATTACTAGTCTTCAAGAATTGAGAATACGAATTCATATACAACTGTACTAGTATCAGCACCATGTATTATATGCCTTAACACAAACAAAAGATGAATGTGACTTAGGTATGCCTCAAATGGTAACCGACTTGTCAGGTTACCATACACCCAACCAAATAAGAAGACTGTAGACTAGCTTTTGCGCCGAATATCATCGTGAAATTCACCTTTAAAATCAGAACTATGAATTAAAAAGGATAAAACAAACTCCTTCACAAATCTAACGACTCAAGTTCAAATCATTTTATAGTTATTAATAGAACAAGACATCGCGGTTGTCCCTGTGACCTTGACCTACGGACTTACTGACCTCAAAGTAAATATTAGTTAATCTGTATCAATTTGCTATATACAAGAACTGGGCACACTTATATATTTTACAGTATAAACTGGCCATTCTTCTTTCTATTTGAACAATAACACCGGCTGGTTATATATTGGCTAGCCAATGATGTAGTTTGCAGGCTGAGGGACCAACTGTTTAAATACTATCTTATATTTACTAAATTTTCTTCATCATACACCTTTAATGCAAATCTCTTTACATCATGAAAAATATAGTTTATATTTCTATGTTTATCTACATACACATTATATTATGTATTATAAAATTTTGACAGGTCACGATGACCCTTTTAAAGGTTTCGAAATGATCCCGACCGCCTGGCAGCGGTTGATATGCAATCCATGTGTTCGGCTTACCAACTCTTTACAAATAAAATAAGACTGATAGCGAAAAAGTGATCCTAATCGACTGCGCCGGTTTTGCAAGGCTGATATCTGAGATTCCAATGAGCGACGTTCAAACGCCAGTTTATTATGTATTAGTACATCATTTATGTCTGATTGTTAAAAACTTGTCATAAACATTAATTATTATACAGAAGCGAAATGACATTCCTTTAGAATATATAAATGATTTAAGCAAATATTAATAAAAGGGTAATAATAGACTTTCGCCTGTCAGATAGGCTTTCAATCATTTGATACGTTAACAGAAATGTAATTTGACACTTTCCAGTTCGGAAATCTCATATTGTATTTGTTATACCATGATTATATATCGTATATCACTCCATTATCTCGACTCTTTTCACTTTCTGTAATTATACTGATATCAATTGAACTTGTTTCAATATTTACATTGTTTCCGCATATATCTACAAGATCAAATGTTAATTCACTTACACTTTATAACTAGTTCATTGAGTTTCTTGTAAAGAATTTTTGTTCATTCATTCTGTTTATTAATATAATTTTTCCCAGCAGAAAAGGCAAAAGAATGCTTAAGATGTTACAAAATATGGGTATTTATTTTCTGTGATTAGTGATTAAGATTCAGTTGTGGTAACTAAGTGATACAATTATCTTTCCAGTAGAATTCCCTATAATAAAAACGCACATGAAATAACTTAGCCAAAAGTTCCCATGAGAAAAAATATATCAAAGGTTCAACTAAATTATGTTAAAATTATATAATTCACCAAAAACATTTGTAAAAGATGCTAATTGTATATTTTTATGGTGTATGACTAACTTACTTCTTGTATTCGTTGCAACGGAATCAGAATACACGAAAAGAACTTTAGTACAGGATTGCTTAAAGTTCATGTATACATTAGCTTTAAGGCTGATTATTTAATATTTGACCCCGTATTTTTTCGTTAAATTCGTTGTTTTTTTTATTTATTTTTATGTTCCATTTAATAGAATGTGCAAAACATCAGAAATATAAATTCTAACTAAATATAAAACAGGACAAGATTATTGATTAAACATGCAGCAAATATAAAACACTAACCGAGAAATCAGTGCTGTGACTGGTTTTCCAGATGTCCCCACGTTTGAGTTTGTTACTAGTGAAATTATACTCTCCATCCTGCAGAACGTGAGATTTAGTCAAGTTATCCTTAATATTTTGAAAGCGCAGGTTCCGACCAGGACCGTACAAGCTCAGTCGATTGTCATCTAAGCTTATGGACGACATCGTTTGCAAACTTCAATTTCCTTATTAGAAAATCGAATATGCGTCGGCTATCTAATCGGAAATCCGTCAAACAGGATTGTCCGCCGGCGTCTCGAATTTCCGACTGCCCCTCGGTCACACCGGAACGCTTTCAAAATAAAAAATCCAAAATTGTCCTCACAAAGTTAAAATTTTCTTGTTTATTTACATTATTCCTTAAATTTAGAAAAGAAACGAAAGTGTCCAGCTAAAAGTCTGACGTTATCCAAATTCGACGTCCTTAGCAACAACAATGGGCTAATCGGAGTAATTCGTTAATCTTAACGCCAACAAATAGTAAAGAATAATATCCGTGTATTGAATTAGCGCTGATAGCGAAATCTTTTTGTGATCAGTTAAAAAGCCTTATCAAAATCATGCATTAAAAGAAAATTTATTTCTTCAATCCTTTTCATTCATTCTTAAAGTCTGACTTGATTTTAATTGATCACGGTGTAAGACAGGAGACAAAAGGTATGTGATAAAGTTACGTTTAGGACATTCTATATTTATTACGACATGTTATCCGTGTGTGATATACACTGTACAAAATACCCAGTCAAGCTTATAATACCCGATCAGTTATAAATAATCAAATAAATATCTGTGTTTAATAATTTATTTCAATATTGTGATAATAATTTATGTATTGTACAAGGCAAAAAGCATTACGGCTTAATGAACAAACATTACGCTGTCATTTTATTTGATTCAAATTAAAGTGTGAAATATCTTTACATTGGATGGAACAAAATTAAAAAAAAACTCGTGGTTTATAATCTTTGATTGATACATGTTAAACATATTAAATAACGAAAAAAAATCGATACAAAAATATTTTAATAATGTATTTGGAAGGGGTGGGGATGGGGTCTCTTAAACATAAATCATGTCCGTTTACTATGGTGGCTGATGTTTACTATGTCTTAGTTTCTCTCAAACGGGCGTCCTGCGAAAATACGACAAAGTGGTAAATTTGTCGTATTATCGTGCTTGCGCCCACGTAGCGAAACTACAAGAAAATGTTGACTTTGTCGTGCTTTTGTTTTTTCGTCCAGCGCCCCACAGAGCACAAATGACACACCTCAGCCACCTTAGTTTACTGGAATCGACCAGACCGGCGCGGTGCAAAATGAGAACTATTGCGACTTTAACCATAACCAGTTTTATGCTTAACCACATAGGTAGGGGACATTATAGGTAGAAATCATGATCTTGACCGTTTGAGCATGTGCGGGAAATGGCTTCTGAATTATCTTACTAAAACATAGACAAAATGCCTCAGTCTACAAAATTATATAGACTGATCAGAATCTAAATAAGGATAGCTTCTAACTAAGAGCTTATTTATATTGCGTTCTCATTAATTGGCAATGAACATATCTTCGAGATATTATTAGTTATATTCAAAACTAGCAAGATTAGGGTAAAGACAGTTTCGTTGTGCCATACCGTATGCTTAACTTCGGAATCCGATAATTACCGACATATATTCATTTAATATTTAGATGTCTTAGGTCAATAATACCAAACAATGCATGATTATCAGAAGTTTCAATATCACATGGCAGGTGATATCAATACAACACATTTCCTTAACAATACACTTATCATTGCTGTATTGCGTTACATTACATTTACATTACATTACATTTACATTACATTTACATTACATTTACATTACATTTACATTACATTTACATTACATTTACATTACATTTACATTACATTTACATTACATTTACATTACATTTACATTACATTATATTTACGTTTACATCACATTTACAAAACATTACATTACACTTATATTTACATTATTTACATTACATTACATTTACATAACATTACATTTAAATTTACATAACATTACATAACGTTTAATTTACATTACATTTACATTACATTTACATTACATTTACATTACATTTACATTACATTTACATTACATTTACATTACATTTACATTACATTAAATTTATATTGCATAACATTACATTTATATTTACATTGTATTACATTACATTACATTTACATGACATTACACTATATTTTTATATTTTCAAAAATACATGTATTATGTTAAATAAAAATGTGTCTCAGGTGGAAAAGTTAAAATATATGTTTTTATCACCGTATGTTAAGTGAATAAATAAACAACATACCAGGGTCTTTTAATACTGTGTTGACATGAGGTCAAGAAAGTTATAAGGTGTAATATATCAATAAAGTAGATCTTACTATTGTCAAACAGTTGGCTGAATGGAGATTTGTTTATTCCTGTTATATTTTATTTACAACTCCTGTCTGTAATAAATACAACTATTATTCTCGCTCTGTTTTGTTATTTAACATACTGATTTAAATTCATATATCATAATGTCTACAACAAGAGTTCATATATGTAAAAGTCCCTGTACAAATATATTATAAAACGTACTAATAATAATATTAGTGTAATAATGGCAGTTTATTGTGAATATTTCACAGATACAAGATAATCATTTATTGGCTGTACTTGTTTCGTTATTCTGGGTGTTTGTTGTTAGATTTAAATAATAATCAAGATAACGATAATCCTTTAATTTGTTCTCAATCATGTCTGTCAATATTTAGTTTATTCATGAAAAGTTTATCAAATAATTTATAGAAAAGATTTCTAATTAAGATTGACACGGCTATAAGTCTGTAAGTTGAGAATGAGCTGTCGAGTTGAATTAACACTTTCTGAATCTTGAGTTAACAGTCAAGGCTTGAGCCTTCTTGTACTGACATAGATGTAGTATACATTATTCCACTTTTCTTTCTCGTTATATATATGTATCAATTAACAGATGTCTTATATATTTTGAATTAATGTTAAAGTCACTTATAGGCCCACTGGGCCGGGTACCCCTAAATTGTATGGATACATTGTTGAAAATAACTTGTAAATGTACAATGTGACTATAATAAACCAATTTCTTATCTTATTTCTTATCTTAGACGGTGCAGTACTAAAATCCCCTAACAGTTGCAAAAGCATTTATATAACTCAGTTATTATAACAACAATATGATTGGTTAATTTAATAACACTGTATACACTATGCAATGAAGAATAGAAAATCACCAATTACATTAAAATAGTAGATTACGTGAATACCCATCCTATTACATTAGTTATAGTAATGTGCGTCAATGACTTCTTGCACATATATATTAATGTACAAATGATTAGAAAGTAGCAACACAAAGCAGGAATAACAAACAGTCGTTGTAAATATAACCCGATTGAAATGTGATGTATATATTTGAATAACAAACACAGAAGGAAAAGTATAGGTATAGATATAGTCTACTGGTTGAGTTCAATACCGTTTGGTATTATAATCAAATTCGTCATTTCTTTACTAGCAGTTAATTTCCTTTGGCTTGCGTTCAAGTAAGTACTCTGGGTTACAGATGGAATGTAATTTTATAACTGCGTGCAATTGTTATGATGTAATTTGATTACAGATATAATGTAAACTTGCAGTGATGATTGTTGCTCCAGACCTATAAAGTCATGGTTTACTGTACATAATGGACAATACGTAAATGAGTATATATATTTACTGTTCAGTGTGAAATTATGCTTTAACATTTATACAGTTCGAACAACTTATTTTCTCACACTTGCTCCTGGTTTCTATACCTTTTTCTACACTTCTGAAAAATAAGAATATTAGATATATATATATTTATGCAAACATTTGCGTATGAATGTAAATAGAGAAATATACACCTCAAAACCGTGTTTCATTGAAGTGTTGTTGTTCTACAATATTTGTGATTACAAATTGCTTTGTAAATGTATTCTACCTACACATTCACATATTTGTCGCGAAAGGGTGTAGTTGATTCTGCTGAGTACTCGACTTCGGGTAAAGGGTCTCTAGACAGAAAAGTATGCGCTACTCAAAATATTATTCTACCGTTACTTGCGCCAACAATTTCTCAATTTATGTGAGAATGCATTTTGCATTTGAACGAGGAAGAGAAGATAATCAAAGAAGTTTTAAAGGTTATAAAGTACTATTATGTATTAGTATTGATAGCGGAAAAGATTAAATGACATCGACGATAAAGAACCATGGCCAACAAAAAGATGGACAATAAATGAACATGAATAACAAGAAGATGGACAATAAAGGAACATGAATAACAAAAAGATGGACAATAAAGGAACATGAATAACAAAAATATGGACAATAAAGGAACATGAATAACAAAAGAAGATGGACAATAAAGGAACATGAATAACAAAAGAAGATGGACAATAAAGGAATAGAATAACAAAAGAAGATGGACAATAAAGGAACATGAATAACAAAAAGATGGACACTAAAGGAACATGAATAACAAAAGAAGATGGACAATAAAGGAACATGAATAACAAAAACATGGACAATAAAGGAACATGAATAACAAAATAAGATGAACAAAAACGGAACATTGGCAATAAAGGAACGTGGACAACTGAAGGAAATGGACCTTTTAAGAATATGAACACATAAAACATGGGCAAATAAAGAACATGGACAATAAAACATAACTTAATAATACAGACACAAACACGAACATTTATACATGTATAACGAAAACATATAGCGATTTTCGTTGCAAATTATGAAAGCTTGACCCTTTCACATATACATATTAGCCAAGAATCTTGCACAAAAATCAAGTCAACCAACTTTTTTTTCGAGTTTTGTATGGTTATAAGTTCTCAGAACTCGATATGTATATTGACATCTTGCATTTTACACGAGATAGTTTTATCTAGATATACATTGGAAAGTCCCTTAAAGATTGTGAGCAGTTTATGTACTAGTTGTATTTATCATGGAAACGCATATAATTTTGTTAAGATTTTAAGATTATTAATTGTTTGGACATGCCGACTATTATCGATTTATTTATCAGCCCTTTCTTCATTTTCATCTTTCCTCTTTTTGAAATGTATTGATAAGTTTACAAGACTATGTCGTATTTTCTAGGAAGATGATTTTTGTCAAATTTTAATAATTTTCATTGTGAATGCACAAAAACAGTTTATACTTTTTGCATTTTATTAAGTGTATTATCGCTAGTGTGGATTATTTCTGGGCAAACTGTTCATTTTTGCATATTGGGTTTCATTTATCAAGTTATGAGACATACTTATTTAAATCATTCGGCAAATTAATAAAGTTTTTTTTATACCTCATAAGAAGATATTAACTATATAAATCAAAATATGACTTTTTCATTCGTTTGATTAACTGAAAATATTGAAAATTTGTTTTAATAACAAAGTGGTTTATATGTATACCACAATATAAGGAACACAATGTATTGATAGATATGGCATTGTGGATAAATGTATAAGGTAGCCGCATGTAAAAATATGCCTTATCTACCAGATACACTGTAGGTAGTAACACTAATAAACATTATCAGGCTAAATAATTTATTCTTTTTTTCTTATAA